CTCAGGTGAATCATTTGGAATGGGAATTAACCGCAAACAACCTTGATGAGCATAATGATTACTACTGCTCTTACTTTAACTCAGTCAAAATGTACTAATGTGTCAAAGTGTTGACGGGAATTTTGAAATCGCTAGAAGTTAAGGCGTTTGTAAAATTTTATGTTATCCTCTTCCCAATGCCGCGGTTTTGGCGAACTTCCTTTCCATGGTCTGGTTGTGTCCTGAGTTTTGGACTACTAGGAAGACCGTTGACTGAGCAAATTTAACGAGGGATAGTGTTAGCTTCGAAAACGTCTTCAAAGCTTACAAAAAATCTGCGTGATAGCATCGGTTTGCTCTCCTAACCAATTTGGTATTCGCCCATAAAGCGCTGATCAAAATACAAACTAATATTGTTTGGCATACTTTGTGAATGACACCATCTTATGTACTTATCGTTTAATTTTTTCCCATTAAAAAAAGCACATCCACCTAAAGCGAAAGCTCGAAAGAATGACCAGGAAAGTTGATTTTATCTTAAAATTGGTGCCACGAAGTAAAAAGTAAGTGTCAAACCAAGCAATTTTTCTTCCTCATTTTAACCGTAGTAGTCTTGTAAATTTGCCTGAGCACTTACGTGGTATACGTCTCTTCTTTTGTTCGACCCAATTTCGGCTCTCCAAATTTCTCCCTAACTAATCTCTCAAGGATGCCAATGCCATCAGTTTTGTGCAGTCTGTGCATCATTAGATGTCCGTGAATGCTCCAATCATCCAATCGACTGCTTCTGTTGTCGAGAGATCGGAACCAAGCCAACGGGCCAGGCAAAGACATGATACCGTACTCTGATGTGAAACGGGTGACTGGATACGTGCACTCATTCCACAGATCGTCGTGGTAGGAGTAAAAGTGAACATCGCCTGCCAGTGGATCCTAGAAGACAAAAGTGTACATCACACGAGCTCTCTCATTATGTTAAGCGTAAATAGCGCATATTTTATTAGACCTGCGGATTAGAGTCGATGCCGTAGGGATCGGTGGAGGAGTCCGCGTTGCTGGGAGATGAGAGGAGTACGCGACGAGGAACATAGCCGGTGCTTCCAACAGGTGATGCCTCATTTCTCATCGTGATGACGGCAATTGAGTCTAGAAATCGTCGACGATACTCCTGCTTGTCAATTTTAGGTCCGTACCAATGCTGAGCGGCGGCCACCTCCACCTCGTTATTTGTAGCCCACACCACGATAGCGGGATGATGGTGAAGTCGCCTCACCTGTTGTCGTACTTCTGTCTCCACAGTATCTGTTCTGCAGACACATGCACGATTCTTACCTTCTCACTAACCATTCATGTCATTGCTCAATGTTTTGGAGAGGTGTCAGTGAGTGGACAGTTGGAGGAACACGATAAACAGAAGTAGAGTTGCGACAGAAAAGTGCCAATGCACCACACACATAATGGGCAAATCTCGTCATACCACTAGAAAACTGAGTAAAAGTGATCGGTATATGAAACGCATGCACCATCCACCTTTGCTTCTTTCCTAAAAGTTCAAACAAGTCTTATAATTTCATATCCGGTGCATGGCAATGTCAGTTGCTTATCGTGGAATCGCCCTGCCGCTAACAAGCGAAATTTTTACAAAGAACACGAAACACTTTATTTTCAAAGTGTTCACTGGACCACATCTGTTCATCCGAAGGTGCCTTGAATGGCAAACTTTTTATGCCACTAAATAAGGTCAAATTTAGCCAAAAATTTGCCTCCGCGCCCAATGGTAATTTAACCAAATGAGGTATTGTTTGGTTGATTGACTGCAGTCAACAGATCTTGTGGTCATTGAGGCCATATTTCGCCGCAAATTTTGGGTGTTGCTGCGGTCACACTCTTTGAATGCACTGCCAAACACTGCGGATGTAGAAGGCGTCTGCCGAATCAACACTTCACCAACTAACCGCAGACACAGGACTCAACAGAGTCAAATCGAAAGCAATAAACTCTGAAAAAAGACTAAATTTAGACTTGTCATCTGAATTTGTTGGTGTTACCTCCATTCACACAGTGCTCAAGCTGCCAAATGTTGCGAAAAACCTTTCCTTGGTTGAAATATTGCTTAGCATTTAAGTGAATACAATCGTAACTTCTTGCGGTGTAGTGGAGAAAAATGAATAAGTTCAACAGTTTCAAACCTGAGTGCATGCAAGTTGGATAGTAGAACAGCGGATAAGCGCTACTTCGACTTGAATTTAGTCGGATGAGTGTGGGTAATTGCACAGATTCTACCTTTTTCACAGTGGAAAGAAAATAATCTCTTTCCCATCTTGAAGCTGGGATTCGCACACCTTTCCTTCTCTGCAAAAGTTTTTCATTCGCCAAAACAATGGCGAGTGGGAAATTCCACAGCGGGGTGATGCTAGGGCGTGCAAACCAGGGCTATCAAAAGTCCTAATGGTGAATAGACAGGTCCAAAAAATTCCCTGATAACGAAAAGCACCTGGTGCATCAGTCAAATGGTTGGACGGTGCTTTTCAAAATTTAGAAATAAAGTTTACTTTTGGCCCCAAATTTGCTGTTCCGACTGTCGTCTCTGCTGCATTTAGATGTTTTCAAATTGACTAAACACCGGTGCAGAGATTCGAAACCATTTTAATGCTAATACGCATATTTATTATAGTTTCAACTCGATGCGCAGAGTGTAACGCGTCCCATTCTACACGGGAGGAGGACTGCCCTTTACTGTATGCCTCAACCTGCATTCCTTGGCATGTTGAGCAGACGCAAAGCCAAATTTGCAAGGCGATATTGAGGCTTGTAAACCTTCATTCTGAATTGGTTGCAGACGATAAGTACAAGTGGCAGAACTTTGTTCTGCTCCGAGAATTTACCCATTTCACTTTGATTAGGGAATGAACTAAGATTAGTTCAATTCGCGTTGCCACTTGTTTAAGACCGATAGAGATGGGGAAGAAGATGAGGAAGGAAAGAAATTGTGCTCTTGGCATTCTTTCCAAGCCACTTGTGTTGATCTAAGATGCGAACTCACACACATACACCTAAAAAAAATGAGTGTTTTCCTCTCCTTTAGCTTACTTGGAAGAAGTAGGCGCTCCTTCTTTTGAGGGAACTTTTAACGACCTACAATGATTGCATTTGTTTGTTTGCTCACACACAAAACCAACCGTATCGGTGAGATGATTATTTATAGGTTGCCTAGGGGTTCGCCGACTGCCACTTTTTGCTTTTCAGTAAAACCAAAATTTACTACAAATGTCTCGAGTGGATACTTCTGCCAGTTAGCCAATGTGAGGGAGAAATACACTGAAAGGGGAATGCTGAATTTGTTGTGCATTAGTGAAAGCAAGAAGGAACTAACTCTGCAAGAAATCAGAAAACGGTCTAACCTTGCGGTATCTTCTGTCTTGTGGATTTTTCTACACAAAAGTATCACCGTAGACAAATTCATGGGCTGAAAGGTGTTACTTCCAAACTCCAAACACAGATGTCCGTCACACCGCCGCATTTTATATGTTACCTTTTAAACTACTTTGCCATCCAACTAAACTAATTTACTTACCCTTCAGGTGTTAAGTTTCTCTCGTTTTGGACCAGATAAATGAATGGACAGATGTTGACTTGGGCTTTGATTTACATAACTGCCAAATCATAACTACTGCACTATGGAAGGAGATAAGCTTACTCTCCACTGGATGGTTTTTTATACATTGCGCATGCGAACATCATATCGTGCCAGAGCATGATGCCGAGGCGACTGGCGAGATCGTAGAACCGGCGGTCCTCGTAGCGCCCTCCGCCCCACACACGCAGCATCTGAATACCCGCCCGGGCCGCCGATTGCAGTAGATACGATTTCGACGCTGCTAGCTCCCTTTCACCTCCCACAAAGAGTTTAGCGGGGACCCAGTTGCTGCCTCTCACAAATAGCGCTTCACCGTTGATGCGAAAGAAGAACGTCTTCCCGTAGGCACGCTCTTGCACTTTCACATCCTCCTTTGGCAAAAGTAGATGTGAAGTCGGAGGGAGTTAGACTGCACCATGACAAAGCGTTTAAGGTTCATAGATAAACACATTTTACTTCTATGTTAAATGATTTGTTGCAAAACTTGATGTCGTAAGCAATTTCAAATGGAGTAACTGATAGAGGCTGGTCTTATTTTCGTTCCGCTTGTGTGTAGCCCTGATATGGCCGATGGCTAACATGTATTTATTGCCTCCTGCCTAGTCGTCAGGCCGACGTTTAATGATCAGGAGTACGAGGCGCAAATATCGCGAAGGTTATTTTGACTAAGTCATACAACTACTTGCTAATGCTACAGCAGTTGGTCTCAATCTCCAGCTCATGCAGGCGCATTCTATTGCAGTATGCGATTCCTCCTGATGCACTGATAAAACTTATTGGTGGGAATGAGGAGATGATGGAAGGCGCACCCTTAAGTAGCGTAATTGTTGCATCCATAAGTCGTGCGCATTGAGGGATGCAAAGCCAAGACAAATGATAAAACGACTGACTCCAACTGCAGGACTTGGCTTATTGTAAATTCTTTCAACACAAAAATTCCCGTGGAGCAGTGAGAAAACTTCCATCTCTCAATCAACCACTAAGGGATTTAAGCAGAAATTAAGGTTCCCTCTTTAATCTTCTCTTCTGCAGTCATTTGAAGAGAATGGAGAAGATCACGGGTTACATCCAAGTAATGCCCTTTTCAGTCTTGGGATGCATGAGAGACCACCTAAGTGGTACATCATAAAGACTGAATTCGGGTAAAACGTCGTGTGTGTGTGTGTGTACGTGTGAAGAGTTGTGCAAATTGCCTAGCGTATTTCGAAAGGAAGAAAAAGAGCAAAAACAAGTGAGTGAGCATTTTAGGATGAACGTGTTATCTGAAGTAACTACAAGACAGTAGTCAATGTAAATAAACTTCTGAGGTTAACGCCTCCAGAAGTAAAGAAAAGCAGTTTGAGAAAGCGGCCGAATGTATGCCCGCAATGAATGCATACAAATGACAATCTCCAACACAAGTTTCATCGCCGATGCTCGTACTGCAAAAAAGGCAGCCAAGCCATATTAATGTAAAGTTACTTAATTTATGCGATCGTGTATATGTAGAAATATTAGTATTCAGGTCGAATCCCTGCAGAACCGGAGGAGGGCGCGCTTCCATCCTCGCACGCTCAAAGCGACGGCGGTGATACTGCCTTGATCATGTTATTCAAAGAGAAAGTTGTCTACCCTTATGCTTCCAACTTCTAGAACAACTCGGTGCATTAACTTCAATGCAAGGGACACATACGCAAACATTTTGAAGGTGGAGGTCAACTTGTAGCAATACGAACGGCTGTCATTAATATTTGATTGCATAGGAGCATCATCGGAGCGGGGAAGGGGTGATGATAAGGAGTAATCGGACACAACCACAGACTGTCATCAAATCGAGCGGATCGGAGGAGGAGGGGGAGGAAGAAGAGCAGACAAAAAATGGGCGCACAAGCACGTGTTTGCGCTTCCAGAGGTTATGCGAACGACCAAGAATGAGACTTTTTGGTATCTTGAAGCACCTAGCTGCGACATGCTATTGCCAATCAAAAAGAAAATCAAATAATTGAGAGTAATACAGTAAATGATGTCTGTGTTTTAACGATAAAATCATTTTCTGATATTTTGATACGGTATGGATATCCTAAGGCAATAACTAATGATATTTCTCTCCATAAAACAGTGCAGAACTTTTAATTCATAGAACCAGGACCTAAGGCGAAGTTATGGCAATCAGGCTTCCCTTTTCGCATAGTGTGAGAACGATTTGCCATTTGAGGCGTTTTTTTTTCAGTCCTGGATAAACAATGCCGGATTATTGACTTCAACCACATCGACTCACTTTATGTAAACTTTCCACATTCGGAGGAAAGACGAAGCATATACTTTCCTTGGGTGTCATCACCTGAACCTCCAATTAATGTTGGATAAGTCGTAAAAATATCTGAAGGAGGAGAGAGGAGGGATGTGAATGAATGGCAGGTCACGGATAAGGGCATATCCCGTCGCCTTCACCTCAAGGACCATGCGAGATGGGTTGTCTCTCAAAACTGCCGTAGCTTCAAACAACCATCGCTCAAGGCGCAGCTCTTCACCTCCATTCTAAGCGCCTGAGCTTAAGGTGCAGAATGAGTTTCCAGTATTGTTCCATTGTCATATAACTGGGCCCCTACGAGCTAACTTGAACAGCTCACACAGGCGAAGTATTTATAGCACTGGTTTTTTAACTGTTCAACTCCACAACTTCGTGGCATTCCTCAACCTATCCGTGATATCTTACCAACTTGTTGTTGTTGTCTCGAAAGGGGAGAGGTAGTTGGAGTCAGGTCAGTAGCAATGTCGCATTTTTACATAATGTCTTGCCACAAATTGATTCGCAGTTAGGAAGGTGGGCAAATCATGAGCATGCAAATATATTTGGATGCTAAAGGTAGGCGGTCAAGACCGTCACTAGAGCGTAAGCAACTTTCTTCTATTCTTTTCACTGCTTGGAAAAGAGATCAAATTGACACACAAGAAGTGTCGCACTTTTAGTAATTTTACTCTGACCTTGTGAAATGTGCCTGTCTTCATTGCTTGTTTCCTGATGTTGCAGGTGTTTCAGAGCACGCGACATCAGGGCGCAACTCAACAGTCCCAGTCGTTGGCGATTTTAGCAGCAACCGGAAGTATGAGTTAAGGCATTAACGCCACTCTAGGAGACTGCGGATACGAGGTGGGCTGAGGCAGAAGGCGGTGGTGCGAGAGCACGAGGAATCGTAATTCGTTAGTAAACAGTTGTAGAACTGCGGTTTGTGTGCGCAAATCAGCGCTTTTCTCAAGTTACTTGGGTCTCTCGTTCCACAAACAGCGAAACTAAAGATCCCAATGTTTCTCGCTTTTCCCATCGAAGATTGTTGGACTGGATGCTTTCAAATGCTGCACCAATTAGCTTCGTGCTCTTTATGTGAAGCCATAATCTATTCAACTGAAGCCAACAAAAATATTCAATTTTTCCGCCCTATGCAACCTTGTTAAAATGAGTCCTTACCGGTGCAACGTGCGCGTGTGTGGAATTCCTCATAAAAATTAAAACAGTTTCGTTTGTTTCCATTACTTACAGTGTCTTGGTACAGATATTGTGCGCGGCATCGGCGACATCGAAGCTATCACTTCACCTCGACAAGGATTGAAACCCCGTATTAGCTGATAACACAGTTTTAAATTGTAAAATGTAAGCTGTAATGCCATTTTAAGGTGTATTTACACCTCCCTCAGAAATAATTTCTCTCATTTATTTACACGCGATCCCAAGTTGCACTCAGTTGGCTTACTATTTGCTCCAACTACCAGAGATTTGCGTTCCCATTCAGGGCGATCATTCGTTAGGACTGCCATTCATTCTCTCATTGTAAAAATGAAAAGAAAAGTTAACGTGAATCCCCTTCTCCGAAAAAGTGTCTCCACGTTGCTATCACTACCGCTTTCAACGCAGGCAATGGAGGAATCAATAATTAGGCATTATTATTCTATTATCATTCCATTCTCATTTGAATATACAGTTTGGCTGTGCACATAAGAAATGGAATACTAGCTAAAAACCTTTGGTAATCCAAATCTACAACAGTTTGAACTAATGCCTTCTTGCATTGTTTTTTGTTAATTCAGGCATACACAAACTAAGGAAGATGTCGTGAATTGGCAATAGCAAACCGCCTAACTAAAAACAAAACTAGGCCGTTTTTGATAACAAACCTTTGAAAAATGCAGCCTTTACCCACTATCATATTTATATACTACTAAATAAAATAAGTAGCGCGGTATTGACAGGCAAAATTATCCAGTCAATCAATGATCATAACCACAGGGCGCAGATCTTGCTTATGCATGAGGGCGTAGCCCTAACCTAGAATCCCATACCCTAGTTTCCATTAGCAAAAAATTCAACTGTGTAACTTATGCGGCCAAATTGTGTCCCCCACGAGTGTGGCTAACAAAGTATTTTTTAAGTTCACTGCGAGCAAAATATGGGAGGGAGAGAGAAGAGGGAATTGATTAAAGGGGAGTGATCACGAGGAAATGCTCTGCCTAGATGGGAATGCTTGAAGTCCTGCCAGTGGAATGCTTACCACACAAAAGAGCTGGGCGCGGAGACTAGGACCGTAAAATCGATACACTCAATTGCCATCTGATTGGTTTGCGTGCAATGCGTTCAACATTTATGTTGCTGTAGCTGCGCTTCCAAGCCTGTGAAGACTGCATGCACGCACGCACGCCACGCCTGCCTTGGTTGACATCGCACCCATCCACGGTAGAGCGCGCTGAGGAGGAGAGAAGGGGAGAGGGGGAGAGCACTTCAGCGCCCCCTTCAGTCCTTACTCCCCTTTCCACTCAGTGTTTTGCATTAGACTATTTTTGGCAGTGGGGATTTTTAACCGTCAAGACGGCTTTCGTTGCAAAGAATCGAGCAAATCTAATGGGCTTTTTTCATAGTCAAGACAGTCACGATAGAAGACACACCATTAAATCGTCTTCTCCGGTATTTGAGGGCGAATGTCTTATCAACAGATTGCGTAAGCAGCGGGAAATGACTGTCAACTACGAGCTCTGACGACTTAGCAAACAACATTTATGGATGCAAACTGATGCTGTCAAAATACCGGTAGTTTAATAAGGCACTCTAGACGTAAGAATGTACCTATCCGAAGGGCAAATCTGTTTCGAAGCCCACCATCGCATGATTAACCAATGACATACCTCCCTTCAACGAAACAACAAATCTCATGAAGAAATTTGCACATGCGTATAACCATAAATATGTCAAACATTTTGGATAGTACTAGGCTCTATATTTTTTTCGTAAAGCCAATCAAACTTGCCTGCGCTACAGTTCAAGTTCGTCTTCCAAGGTTTTCACGCACGACTAAACCTTTACCTAGTCACTCAAAATGCAACACTTTTAAGCAAAGACAAGAACAGTTAGTTTAAAGCGCCATTTAAATGTGAAATCCCTTATTGTAATGACTCCACGAGCATAATTGTTGCTTGATCCTTTGAACAGCTGCCTCGATTCTAACTCTTTTTGAAATTTAAGACGCATTATCGAACACTAATTCAGTCAATTGTTGAAAACTATGTTTGGAAGAGATGGCATTAGTTTGCTGCTTTTGCTCATCACGTGCCACCCTATAAAATGCTGAATGATGGTTGGTACTCACGACTTTGGAATGCTCTCTTTCATTCCTCACTTCACCAAACAATGATATTCAAGATCCTGTCTCCTCGTATGATCTGTTGGTACAAAATGAGGAGAGGGGTTTTTGGAAAAGAGGCAGTGAAAAGCAATTTGGGTAATGAGTTAATGCCGTACCTGGACGAGTTCAACTTTCCGAAAACCGACCCAGAAGGATTTTCTGTCGACCAGAAGATCACCAAGTGGATTTCGGAGCTGCACACTCAGAACGTACAAGTATGGTCCCGAGCCCACTCCGAGCGGCCACCAGGGTCTCACCGTGGCGTTTGAGGCCAACGGCAATTCCATCCACACATCCGTTTCTCGGTCCCGCAGCGAAATACAACGCCCTGTCCACCCTTGCATTAATCCACCTTGCAGTTTTGCATAAACGCAGACACTGTGATCTGGCTTAACAATGCTAGAACTACGAAGAACCTCGACAGAGACGGAAGCCTTCCAACTGCGTTCTAGCATTACTGGGAAAAAGTGTAGTCCATCACCCAACCAAACCTTACCAAATCTAAGAGAGGGTAGTTTCCAAAATCCCTGAATCGGAAAAGCAGGACCCCAATCCCACCCAAAAGCAGATTGTGTTGTTCTAACCGCGTTGACATAGCATTCACCTCTAAAAATGTTAGGCCAACAGGCGGGAAGTGGTGGGTTTGGAGAGAGCTTCTGATAACTTTCTTTGGCCATCAAGGGTGTCGACTTGAATACGAATTGGAGAAGATTCCAGCCATAGCGAAGAACAGCGTGAACAGGGAGGATTGAGCGGATAAAACTATTTTCAATGCATGCCAGAGGATTATTATTAAGGTAGACGCAACAAAATGTATCCATCTCATCAATTTCGAGGGAAGTGGTTTCAAAAGCCTCGGGATAATCGACTCGGAAGTAGTGCGAGAAGGTCCAGTTCTTGTAACTAATGTAGCGCAGTTCTACATCGCCGTAGCCCCTAAGGGGATTGCCAATAATTCCAACCTCATGAAGAACTGAGTGGACATCCGCGCCGGTTGAGGTGACGCTGAAGTGAACGACAGTATCTCCATCACTGAGACTCCAATGGCCAGAAAGCCGAACCGAATAGGTCTCACCAGATCGAATCAACAGCAGTAGCACAGGCAGGGCCGCCACCACCTGCAGTTCCGACATAATGTAAACTAGTTTCAACAACGAACTTGCGCTATTGTAAACAGACCGCCCTCATGTGACACTGGACACCTATACACGTAACAGTGGAGGGCAACCTGGAGATTTTTACGCATCTGATCCCCATAGCGATTAAAAACTACGAGATGATTTAGAAGACTTGAAGCTGCACTAAAACTTGAACTAATTTCTTCTCCATTTCACATTCAGTACTAAGAATCCAGAGCAGACCATTTCTTCACCCAAAACAGACCTTGGCTGAGGCAGTTGAGCTCCGAAAATAATTGTGCTAGCAACGATCCCAAGTTTTGCCCAGAGACGTATGAGCTTATCATTGTCAGCAAGGATCAGAGGACCGCCATGACCAATGAGTAATCTGCACACCTTTAACTGCATTACGCGGCGCCTGGAAACAAGACATACATAAAATTCGGTGTCTGAGCCTAACTTATTTTATCGAATACACAGCTCAGTCTCTGTCTTAATGACTTCACAAGATTATCAAAAGGAGTAAATGAACGGCAGATTGGCCCACAGAATCCACTTGTCGCTAAGATAAATTATCGGTCTGATTGAAGATTTAAGTTGCATCAAATTAGTGCGCAACTCCGCGCTGTGAAAGCGCAAACTCAAACTCAAACCCAGCATCCTTCGTGACTTGCCTACTAAATTTCAATGAGTGGTGAATTAAGTGCAAAGACGAAATGGTGAGTAAAATCCATTGAGGTGCGTTTTATATTTTACCAAAATGTCGACAGAAGGTAAGTAAGACAAGTGGCCCCTTTTCAGAGGAAGTGAGGGCATGAACGCATGCAAGATGTAAATGAGTGAGTGGTGAAACTACTAACGCGGTACGGGGAAGAGGGAGTAGAGGAAGACAGCGAGAATCACGCAAGCGGTACCGAAGAGGAAAGTCCAAGAGAGACTGGAGTTGAGGAAGACAAAAGAGATGACACAGGTGATTATTATTGAGGCCGAACACGCAAAACCCTGGAGAATAAAAAAAAGAAATGAAAATTGGTAGCCTGGAAGCAGTCAGCTCTATCAATCGAATTTGCAGATAATTGAGGTCAAAGTGGACTATATCCGTCAACGAAACATCCACCCTAATGAGCCTCAGGAACCCAAAGCATACCCTTCAAATTTGAACTTATATAGCGAAGAAGCTTTGTCGATTACAGTTCCATGGGAGAACGTGGGCGGCGTTGAAAGTCACGACATGAATGGTTGCAGCGAATAAATGTTATAGCTAACAAAATGGCTAAGTCATAACTTCCGGATCTTGACAGCACATTGGCTGACTTCCACATTTACTGGAAGAGTCCAATGGAGTGAGGAAAACAATGTCGCGTTAAGGTGATAAGCGAAATTACCCCGTAGTTAAGAGCCGTAGATTTATGAAACCAAAATCAGTGAAGAGCACTCACGAGTATGTAGATCCTAAACAACCGAAACGATCGATTCCGACCACTTCGGCATAAACTAGAGGATTAACCAGGAAAAATTCCACAAAGGAATACGAAGGAGTCAGTAAACAAATAAAGGTGAATACAAGCAAAGAAGATCTTCAGTTAATCTTTACAAGGTAAATTCGACTTCACCTCACTGATGGTGATTATTCAAGCAAAAAATGGAATATTCTAGCTAACAGATCAAGCCTACAAATAATATAGAATAAAAAAGAAGCGCATACTTTTAAAATATTGTCCGCATGCTTAACGACAAGGGCAACGAGGATGCCACCGATGGATTGGAGACCAACAGTAGTCCAAACCAGCCAGTCAAAGCCATAGAAAAACCCATTTTCCTTCACCCTACCGCCTTCGCTTATGGCTTGAGCGACCAGCGCAATAGCAATTGATGCCAATGAGAGCTCAAAGTTTCTAGTCCAAAGCGATTTCGGTGAATGTTTAAGGATCTACAAGAAACTCATAGGAGCATTTGAAGAGCCAACCTTTTCGAAATAGACAGCAGCAAACCCGGACAAAATTGAAGCAGAGAGGACGGCCATTAAGCCCGCAGCACCTGAGGCGTCAAGTGAGGTAGGTGCTGAGGATTGCGCCGTATAATCTTGTAGCTGTACAACGGCTACGCCAATAAAGAGGACAATCTGTGACATCCACTGGACAAAACTAATATTTCTGTGCAAAAACAGAACCGAGAACATCGTGGTCGTGAGGAGCTTCAACTGATACGTCACCTGAATTCTCTGGTTGGAAAAATGAAATTACTTGGAACACAGTTGCATCTAGACAGCTTAGTGCAAAAAGTATAACATTGTTTTGTATAACATAAATCAAAGCTGGAACGCAAGTTCCGAGAAAGTCATGGGTGTCATAGTAAATGCCACTGATGGTGCGTTTAATTAGACCATCGTGAAACAACACAAGGGATGAAATTAAGAATTTCACGATTTCGCTTAGTATGACAACTGATGAGGTAGAATATCTAATCCGATATTCTGCGCGTGAATATCGCATAGCCAGAGTATGAAACACATTTTGGAATGACAGCACGACCAAGTAACCGATCTTGGCGCACTTGCATCCAGGCATGATCGCGATTGGTCAAATCAGTCTATTTCACTTCAGTTTCATTATCACTTTTTTTGTAAAAGGCAAAACAAAATAAAACAATTGAGGAAAGTTTAAATCAATAATATGACATGATTTGTTGAGGATGTCTGTGCTTTGTAATTGTGAAACTTGCAATGATGTGGATCTTTGAGAGCACCCATACGAAATCAGGTAGAATATCGGGAGCGAAATTAGGCTTAAGTACGGATTTAACAACTCACTTATAGCCAGTGTGACAGTTCGTATCGTTCCAGGGGCTAAAATCGGAATCATATTAATGCGAAGTTATATGGCCGATATATAGGCACGACCAGGATGATAAATTGGTTAACGGAGATGCAAAGATGGTACTGTAATGCGTTGTTTATGTGACTATCTGACGTTTGGCAAATTTAGAACTTGTCTAGACTCAGAGCACGTGGGCTGGCCTTCGGGCCACGCTCAGGCCCCCATTTCTCCTATTGTTTTCGGAATACATGTATTCGACCTCACTTATGCCTTCTACTACCCCATTTGGAGCCTGGGGACGCTACAGGTACCTTAAAATTTCTTACCACAAAAAACTCGGAATCTAAAAAGGTTGCTATATTCATTAAATAAGTTGTATTGAGAGAAGGGGAAGCTTGTTGACCAAACTGCGGTTCTAAAGCTGCTATAGAATTACCAGACATGAAGCCGAGTTACCGATAAAGTTGATGATTCAGGGTAATTTAAAAGGAATTAGCCCTTGCACCTATGCTGCATTGTAAATTTGGACTTAAACCAGTGATCCCTTTGTACATTAACGTAAATTTCACCCATCTGATGTAGAAGTGTAAGATGTACTATGATCAGAAGTATTATACAAGTACTACAGTACAGTCTTAAATTCGTTATAGCCTATGTTCCTCCCCAAAAGTTTACGTACACGGGTTTTATTTGGCATAGCAGGAGAGTGGAGGCAACAGCATGGAAGTAGGGAGTCGATTGTATGCAGAGTGAGGTTTCTCCCATCAGTAAGAGGTTCGCTTTTATGACCTCGTTATAACCTACGAGATAGATTAAAGCAACAACTCTAATGAATTACGCAACCAATTATAGTAGCGTCAGTGCATGTAAACTTTGTGCATTGATAAGTTAAGATTATCGCAGCATGCAATAAACTACAACTCCGAATACCCAGAGGTACCGCAAAGTCCATTAAGAGGTACTAATGTGACCACTTGTATGCCTAACGGTTACTTAGATGTTCGTCCTGCGCCTGTGAGCGTGGGCTGGCCTTCTGACCAAGCTAAAGTCCAATCCCTTCTTATCCACCTGCCTTCTGCATGGAGTGCTACACTGGTACCTCAGGCACTAAAACATAAATAATGTACCTTGAATTTGTCGGCAAGATCCGAAAATAAAACAAATAAACATATAATACGGTCAACGAGATGCATAATCCCGAAGGGGTGTGGTAGCTAGAACTTTATAACTGGGGAACGGACAACGAAATAATTGGGACTCCCTTCCCTTAATACTGACCAGAATTCTTCAGAAGAACAGACGGATTCAGCCGGTCCGAGATTCCCTTCCTTGAGACTGACAGAAGAGATCTTTACTGGAAGGGTTTTAGTTGTAATATTTAGGTTATGATTAGTCAGATTTTAGGAGAAGAATTTTTACTTGGAGAGGCAGGATGTTTCCTTCGCAAGGGCCTTGATCACTACGTTCGAATTAAATTCCCACATGTCCCTACACAAAGTAATGGAATCTATAAAACCCACCAAACCCAGCCGCAGCTGTTTGAATATCGCACTCGTCATAATCTGATATCTCCTTAATGCCTTCATCAGGTGAACGTTTGTTTTGATTGGTTTTGTAAGGCATTGCATCAATTACAAATGTTGATGTAAAATTGATGTATCAAATACACGTCTTTGAACTGCAAGGCGCACCAAAAATCTCCTATGTATTGCAATTGTGACCTCAGCGTTACTGCTGTCTGATCCTCCACTTAAAGGCCCTCATAATAGATCTACATATCTGAGATGTCTCATTTGGCATAAAGGTACAAAATTTTAGGAGAAAGAGTACATGAGCAAGGTAAGAGAGATTTATTCTTTCTGCCTTAGAATTGAACTTCCGCCTCTGAACTACAAAGTCCAGCGAAACAGCTCATCTCATTCTAGCCTTCTAAAATGCATATTTTCAAGGAAACAAGTGAAGAATTGAGCTTTGGCATGACTTGAAGGAAAATTCACACGTAATAAAGCAAGATAAATATCAGAATGGCCGTTAGGCATCACAGGCAATCAAATGAGCACAGTATTAGGTTCAGTAAACATGATAGAAAAATATCAAGGGAAATTATTTGTTTGTTTGTATGCCGGTATGGCTTGAAGATAATAGTGCGGCTGATTGGTCTTTGCAGGGTAGGCTAGCCTACACACGATGGAAAATTTCAAAAACATATTCTAACTTAGGTGCTATGCCTTCCGTTACCTGCAAAGATGTCTAGGTGTGCTACATGATTACTACAGAGGGGATAAAAATACAAAAGTAGGTATAGTTCATTGTACTGCATGCTGTCGATTTAAATAGCTCTTTGAGGGGGAGGCACAGACTCAACTCACACGCAGTAGCGCCTGCAAATTCATGTTAGGCGGAAGGAGGCATTATGTTGGGCTAAATGCGTGTGTGCTAGGATAAGGCCTTGGCTTAGATAAAGGTTCGACCACGCATATAAGAGCGAGACGACTACCGAAGTAACAGTAGAGGGCCTTTCTTTGGTATAGATGTAATATTCTTTGTCTACATCACCCCCTTTTGATTGTTCACAAATAGAAATGCCTTGTGAACTATCGTAAAATCTCAAAATCTCAAGGTTTTTGCAGAGAGCATATACGAACAATTTTTAACCAAAATTCTGTTTAAAATGCCATTTATTCGTCAATCTCTTTTTAAAGTTTAAAGCGGTAACACTTATTTCAAATGTGCTTTGAAACTAGTATTGGTATACGGTCAATGCCTTAGGATAATATTATGCATCAAATTTCAAGCATTAAATGTTTAAATCATCAGACATTAAGCCAACCTACAAACTATTTTGCCGATATTGCGCACCAATGGCATCAAAAGATGGCTGCTTATACAACGCGAAATTGGCGGAGCAAGCAGGACGGTTTGATGGTATTTATAGTTTGTTTCTCGTTTTACCCCTAGATATGGTCTCATTTATGGATTCAATCGTACGCATGAATGTTGAACTGAAAGCTGATGAGCGGAATTTGCTCTCAATCGCATACAAAAACGCTCTCCTTCCACGGCGCCGTGCCTGGGACGAAATATCTGTTGCTGTGCAAACTGCTGAGAAAAGTGGCTCTTCGGAGTATCCTTGCCTTTTGAAATATCGCGAAACTGTTGAAGCCGAAATACGGTTAATTGTGCGTAAATTACTAGCGTACATTGATTCCTGTCTTTTGAAAGATGAGCAAGAGCCTGATATAAAAGCATTCTACTATAAACTGTACGCGCTTCGTTTAACGTTTACCCTGGAAGTAATGGGGATTGTTATAGATACCTTGCTGAATTCGAAACTGGTAATGACAGAAGCGATTCTGCTGAGCACAGCTTAATTGCTTACAAAAACGCTTTTGAAATAGCATCAGGGAATTTAGCCCCTACTCATCCTTTGAGGCTTGGAATTGCATTAAACTTTGCCGTATTTTACTTTGATATTGTCCACGCAGTTGATAAGGCGTACAAACTTTTGCAATCTGCATATGACGATGCCATTGCCGAAATAGACAATTTATCTGAAGAGCCATATAAAGAATCGACAATTGTTATGAGACTTTTAAAGGAAAACATGCAGCTATGGTTGCCTTACATGCAATCCGAGGAAAGTGAATGCTGTGGCAGGCCAAGGTCCTGAATTTACCTAGGCCTACGTTGAATATTGTACGTACTTATTTTTTACAGCAGTTTTAATGTCCATGCATCAGTCTTCGCTTTGCTTTTTAACTTAGCGGAATTCGGTTGTTTAATGTAATCATAAACCGGCTGTCACTCCATTTTTAAAAATAATTTTAAATTCCTCACCATTTTCCCCCGCGTTTGCACTTGAGAAGTTTGCTCTTATCATCCTTACTTCTTTGCGAATTTGTAATAAGATGGTAGATTAGGAGATTCCTTTCAGTGGGACTCGAATTGTGCGTCCAAACTGCGTAGATTGATGTGTCCAAGCAGTTTAACGAGCATTTGAGCAGCCTCTAAATTTACTGCGAATCCATGGCAGGACTTTCTTGACACTGACATGCGTTTTAAGCAATATCATTAAGAAATCCCCAATAATTCAAACAGGGATTCTTTTACTAAGCTGTACAAACATTTGTGCATTTTGACTAATACACTGCGACATTTAGCAACGCGACAGAAAGCAGCTTGTTGATTACTCATGCTGCTTTAAATGTCCGTTTTTAGTTGGGAGGCGGGAACAGAACCAAACCTCATCCTTGATGGGTTTCATTTTCCAGAAACTGACAGGAGCCACCCTTCCAGTTCCCCTCTATTTAGAGCAAATAAATATATAACTGAATATTTGGCCTACTCATGCTATAGGGCAAAGAAGGTGGATGAGGATAGTGCTACAGTCTGTAGCATAATTTTCGTAATTTTTCCTTCTTGAGTTGGTGGAAAGCAAAACCCAGGTCATTGCAGCTTGTAACTATTGATAAGAATTAAGCAATTATGAATGTAACTTTAAGCTAAAAGCATGGAATTTATGATAGGCAACTTAAGGTAAACAACTATAAATGTTTCCAAAGTCGAGATGTATCGTAATGTATTCCCCACTCCTTCTTCCCACCCATTACTTAATACTTTAGAACAGGAATGCTGACTGGAGGTAGGCATCGTTCGTTGAAGACGTATGGTGGGGGTTTGCAGGTCACAAAAGCTAGGTCGTTTCCCTTTCAAAGACTCACCACTCAAGTAGTGTTCTGCACAATAACGCATAATTACAGCATGAAATTGTAAACCAAGAAGGGACGTTATTCCTTCGATACACTAGTTGTTTACGTAGGTTTTTTATCGTCAATTTATTCAGCTTAACGAGTTATAGAAGAAAACTCAAGTTTTTCCCAGAATTATGCTGCACTGTAAATTTTTGCTACGGTTTAATTTCCGCTTAAACACAGCGGATCACTTTCGCCGTACAGGATACTTTAGAGAGTCTGGCCCCGCCGATATTGCTAAAATCTAACGGATTCTCATTTTGAGTCAAATTAGATCGTATTACTGCATACTCCATACCACTGACAGCTTATTAATGTTGCTGTCCTATTAACAGCTACTGCTCACTACATCGACCTCTTGTATGCATAGAATCCAACTGGAGCTCTTCATCACGCTCAGTAAGAAGTAGGTTGAACATGGCAAATGTGAATTAAATTTACATGCTTTGGAAGCTCCCAATGTCTCCCATCTAGCTTTGAAGAAAGGGCGATGGTGAAGCAGGGAATCTGAATGCCACTGTAAGCTGATTGTGCTTTAAGGCTTTTTTGCTGACTTAACAATCTTTACAGTACTGCTGCTGCATAAGTCCATACCATGGGTGGGCGGGCTATTCGAGTCGAATCAACCTGACGCCACAGAGGTCAACTGGTGCATAAAATGCCAATGAAAGCATGGCGTTTAGTACTTGCTCCAGTATATTGGTTGATTAAGTCCTATTTCTGGTGGGGTACCATTCGGTGCCTTGAGTATTGTAGCTATGCCATGTGCATCGAACAGTAGTTCCGCTTCTTACTAATACCAATGTGCACAGTTTGCTCAATAAGTACACATTTGAGGAAAATTCAGTTTTCTGCAATAGTGATGGCGAAGCCAAATTCAGCCTTGAAGCACAGTCATTTGACTTTCCAACTTGGAGTAAAAAATTTTAGCCAGCAAAAGTATTGCATAACTGTCCAAATCGGAAAGGTGGTGGCTACCATATCCAGAAGAGTTTAGGTGCCATTCGTGATTGTAGCGTAACGAATTTTCTCAGCATATCTTTGAAGGTACACGATTTGACTGAATATGTGTGTTTAGGCAGGGAGGAAGGAGACCAACTTACCTAACAGAAGTCAGGTGATCTCCAAAGTGACCACCATTCGTGCATGCAATCGATTTTTCATCGCTGATTTATCGACTGCGTTGAATCCGTTCCACCTCACTTCTAATAGTAGGTGGATAAAAATCACCTCACAAAGGCGGTATGTCCGTCCAAGTGGCCATAGCCGAAGCCGATAATCAAGCAACAAATAGACCTTCACAACCCATAAATACAATACTTTTTTTCGCTGATTATCGACATCTGTAACGAGCACTTTAGCAGCCATATAACATCTCCTGAATGGGCTGATCTTTGGGCCATGTCAAAAGCCTCACATATTTTCTGCCTGTCTAAGCATATTCGTTCCAGCACGATAGAGTCCCTTCTAGTACCTAATTAAACGTCATTGGGGCGTTGAATCGACGGAAGTGAGCGAGACTTTGGAACAACTTTGATTCTGTCATGCACCGCTTTTGACAGACCGCGTTGAAGGTAGTTTGCATGTTTTGGAGGAAAAATGACTAGATTCTCTTAAACAGGGTAGCTGAGATTGATATCTATTTTCGGAATTTGTCCCATTCTTGTGTTTCACTGGCAAGCTGATGGGGAAGAACACGGTAGAGTTTCTTTTAAGGTTTTTTATTTTGTGTCTGCGTATGGATGTCGGCAATGCCGATTTGAAGGGAACGCCTACACAAGGCATAACACTGTCCATTCTACCATGTGTATGAATGACGGTTGTTTGAGCAGCTATGTTGCCTCAGGCAAAAACCAAATTCCCACGTCTTCCCCTTCTTTCTGAATGCGAACACAGCCATGTCTCTAGTCTTCAACTACCAAATGAGTAGTTACAGAATGTCACACTGGTGACACCTTAAAGCAAATAAACCTTTGCTACAACTTCCTGCCTGATTTCAATCATTTGGGACAAAATTCGGACGTGCAAATGACTGCATATTCCAAGGAAGACTGAATTCTATCCTATCCACAACGGAAGGGGTGAGAACCAGGTCAGCTTCTGGCCTCTTCCCCATTACTATGCTCCACAGGTAAGCTACTAATGGCTAAGGCGACAACATCGTAAAACGTCTGTAAAGTTTCGTTTCCGAGTTGTCCTTACCTTACCCGCCATAGATGTCGATGACATTCAACCAAACCTCAGTTCAGTTCCATTTTTCCTGTTATGCATCTGCTTTAGCCTAGCGCCCAAAAATCTGGTCTTGGGTGCAATTGATGGTCAACAAAAGATCATTTCCCTGATTCTTACTTAGGCCGAGTGCAACATCAGCCCTAACCGAACATGAAAGCAGAGCGCTGTGAACGTTGCTAAAATGTATTACCTTGGGCTATTTGACCGACTGTAGGGTTGGTGACAACTTATTTGTTCATCGGGCTTTTGCTGAGTACGCTGGTCTTCGGGTCAAATCGAAGTCTTATGTCTTCCACTGCTAAAATGTTTAATACCCTCTACCACCAAGCGAGGAGTCTCGAAAAGTTGCACGCGAAGCTGCGCAAAGTTTTGTATTTCCTTATACAAAGCTGACATAAACCAGTGTTCTAACTCAATTCTCGGCACATATTGTAGTCAACGGCATTCTCAGCTTCTTTAATCCATTTCCAGGCCGAGAAAAGATCCAGCTTCAGCTGAATCTGTAAAGGTTGATCACCACATTACATGTCGATTTCATTTTCTTATTAACATAGAATTAGTCACTGGAGTAACTGGCTTGTGAGTGTTTCTTTCTGGCACTGGCTGTAATAAAGTGATTATGTGACCAAATCATGCCTTGCTGTGACTTTTGTATTGGTTTGTCCATGCCCACGTAGGCTGTTTTTCGGGCCATACCAAACGTAATGCTACCTTCAACGTAGTGAGAAGCCTTAAGGTGTTACACCGATGACGTTTGGGTTGCTGAGGTGGGATGCCCACTGAGAGAAGCATCGGGACTGCGTCCTAAGAGAGGGAGAAAGACTACATTTTGTGGCGGTGTCATAAAATTTGCTTTCAACACTTGCAATGCTTTGATCACGTGATCACCTGATATATGGTGGTTATTTTGGGATCCGTTTTGCCCATGCATGCGTCGGCTGACCATGCAAAGACTATCCATTTTTCTTCATGTAGATTGCCCGAAGTGATATCTTCTTCTACACTAAACCATTATTTTGCACGGGTCATCAAGCAAAAAATAAGACCTTGCCTAACTTCGCTATTATGCAAAATTTGAAGTCGTAAATCACTTTGATATAGATATAATGCTTTGTTTATGTGGCAACATGACGTTTAGCATTCACTTTAGGATTGGTCCGGCCCTGTACACATGGGCTGTCCTTCGGACCACGCTCAGGCCCCATTTCCTCCGTCGTCTTCAGAATACATGTATTCACGCTCACTTATGCCTTCTTCCACCCTATAGGAAGCCTCGGACGCCAAAGTAGATATACGTATTTTCTTTTATAAAATTATTCCTTTTGTAGAACAACTATTGTAACCAATAGAGTGAAGTGTACAAAATTCTTTATAAGCAAATGTATGAATTCCAATCACAACTAAATTACCGAAAGCTTAAAGCATTATTAATCATAATAACCTCAATTTTATCAATTTATATGACATATATGCGCTTTCTGCATAACATAAAATTATGTCAGTGTTTAAGTCTGTTGGTTAAAGGAAATTCGCTTTAAACACTTTGAGCTAACCTCAAGGTAATCAGCCATCTTGGTTCTTTTGCACGCCTTCAGAAGGCAACGGTTTAAACTAAACTTTGTTTTATGCGTTTGTAAGCTTGCTGCTCGCATATGCACCCCTCTAAGTCTATTTTAATATTTTGTCTTCTGTTTTTTGTCGCACTTGCTGTTTGCGAGGATTGGCCTTGTTTATGTTATGCAGTATTAACTTGCCTTGATATTGTATTGGTTTGGTTTTTCCGATTTCGCGTATTGGCGTTTCATCGACGATTTATTTAATGGCTTTATTGAGGAATAACTGTTTCATGAGCTCGAGTATAGCGGTTGTAGCTGTAGGTTTTGGTTTGAAATTTCTCTAATCGTTAGCGGTGGTACGCTTGCCTCGTTACCTCAACCCTGTTCACTTACCCGCCTATTGTCGAAAGTAAGCCGATGCGTACCGATTCTCTGCACTAGTTCATTTATGCTCCATTCTTTCAAACTTTGTAATGCAAGCAATACGTAATTTCCTTTAGTGCAGAACGTATGCCGCAACTCTGATCGTGCTTTTACATGATGGATTTGCTGGATCAGAATTCGCACGAGCGGAATAGCGATATTGATAATCTCATTATTGCAGCGGCTGCTGCTTCAGGGGACGAGCCCATGGATACTGATATGACTGTTGAGGGATGCGTCAACGTAAGATTTCACCTACTTTATTTCAGCCTTTAGTATGAAGGAGGCGAGGCGAATTCTCGTACTGGTCAGGGATATTGGCATCCTGGCTTTCTGCAATCTGAACACGTTGTTGCTATTCAAGAAGCTGCACGTAACGTTCTGATTGAACACGATCGTCATTTCCTACCCGATCCATACAGTAAAAAGTTTGGTACTGAGTTAGACTACCAAGAAATGATGGATCTCATGGACTTTAAAGGAGAAGAAGACGAAACAGTTGATCACATAGAAGCCATGCGAAAACACTCCATGGTTTTCGAGGCTACCGGAGCTCATTCGCAAGCTCTTCCACTTTATGAGGTTTGTCTATCAGTTTTTTGCATTTCATCCAACTTTAGCAAGCAGTTAACGAGGCGGCCTATCAAATCTCTGCTGTACAACCTGCAGCCATTTTCCACAAGCGAGACCTCGCAATGTTGGCAAAGATAGCTGTTCGTATGACTGGCTTTGAGTTTCCAGTTTCACGTGCTGCTAATTACACTCCAATGGAGGACTACGTCACCGTGTCATCTTCGGCAACTGTTTTGGAAACTGAGGAGAACTCTCAGTCTCTTAGGCCTTCGACAGCAGCCCCTGCTAGCGCCTCCATGCTTCTTCAAAAATCTGGTCTGCTTGCGCCACGACGTGACGCTTTGAAACCAGAGTTAACGGCTCAGGAGTACGCAATAATAGCTCGTGCCGCACAGGAGCTTGCACCAGAATTACCCAACTTAGCACTGAAAAGCCGAGATCAGTGCAGTTTAGTTGAGAACTTTGTTTACACCGATGCAGTTCGCTTGATGAATATTAGCCCTGAGAGACTTGATGAAGAGATGGAGTATATTCGTGATGTAAGTGCCATCTACGGCCGATATCAAAGTGGCCCTCGAATGCCTTCTCCGCGCTTATCACCCTATGAGATGGGCATGAATGAAGCGGCTGCATGCGTTGCTAAACTGCGGCCCAGTTTGCTTACTCATACTCTTCATTTGACCGAATGGGCCAGGCGAGTGCTCACATTGTCGGGTCTTCAGTTGTCTAGGATTCCTGCCCCGTCTTCACCCTCGCATCATCAATCGGGTCATGGTGATCGGTGGTGAGTCTTTTTTGTCTACTTCTGTTCCTCTTTTGCGTAAGTCCCATCACTTTGTGCCTTTTGCAGGTCTCAACGTGGTGGCGCAAGCAAAAATTCCTCAGGTCAGATGCGAATTCATAGCAGTGAGTCGGCGTTTGGTGGAACTACTGGTTGCAGCCTCACGTACTCCAATGAATACTTGAGTGATTTTGGTGGTGGAGGTGGTAGTGGTTTCAGCATTACTACAGCAAATGACACCAATAGTGGCGACGTTATTGACTACGAGTCTTCCTGTGGTCTTGACAGTAGTGAACTCATTCAGCCCCTAGGAGGTGCGCAAGCTATTGCCTTGCTCTCCGACTTCAATTTAGAGAAACTCGGTCGCGCTCAGTTCACTGTCGTTGATCCGCGTACAGACGCTGAGTTTGAAAACTGTCCTCTTGAATTGATTGCCGAGGAAGATGATACACCACTTGATATGGCCGAAATTCTCCGTCTGTCTGGTTCAGATAGCCTAGAGGATGTGACTGAACTTTTAGTTCCCTGCAGCGGCTACACGAGTGTCAATGCCTTTGATCTAACTCGTTGCACGAATCTAAAGGAACTGGATCTGAGCGAGAATGCTCTTCGAGTCTTTCCTAGACGTTTGCATCTCGCGAACTTGAAGAAACTAGGTTTGTCGGGCAATCGATTTATTCATCTACCACTGATTGAACAATTTCCGAAATTGACGCGCTTGACTATCGATGAGAGGCTGAAACAGGTTTGTCAAATACTTAAATTTGATTTTTTTGTTCAATTTTGCTTTCGTTTGACCCCTATAATGCAACGAGTTGGTGGTTTTGTAGGCTTTACATTCTTTGTCTTGTCGGAAGTTCTATTATTTAAATGCGCAGTACATTATTTAGCTTCTAAATCCTCAAATGCTGGCGTACTTCTGTCCAAAATTGAAAATAATCAATGGTCAGTTCTTCGACGAGATCTGTTCAGATTTTACGATTCGAGTAATTCAAGAGGCGAGGGCTATCATGGAACCATATGTGAGTTATTCGTGCTTTACTTTGTCCTTTATCGCACATCAAATTTACACCTTTAAACCAGCTTGAAACATTTAACTTCGATGTTTTCTACTCTACATGCATTTGGTGCTTCTGTCGTGCAATTAGTGCTTTATCAAATAATACACGGGTTGGACTCTCTTTTGCACTGGTCAAGTTGCTCAGTTTGTATGTTCTTCAGATCCGCTCGAAGTGGGAGAATGAGTTTGCAGACCGCTTGCAGCCCATTAGCACTCCAGAAGAGCGTCTTCGATCCATCGAAACCATGATTCAGCAGTTGAAGGATAACTTTATGCTCGATGATGCGGTGGTACCGTATAAAAATTTGCTTGTAAGTCTCATCCTCCTAGGCTCTCTTCTTATCTAGTCTAGTGGTGCCTTCACGTCGTGCTGGGTTGCTTTAACATCACTCAGGCATATCGCATAGTGGACGAGTATCTGCGATCGAAGCAGCAGCAACAATTACCGGATTTGGAGATGGCAGCAGTGGGGCCGGACTCAGCCGCTCAACAGGATCGAGAGAAACGCACGAACGAGTTGGCTGAGACCCTTGAGGCAGAAGTGCCTATGCCAGGTGTGGTGGATGACGATGAAGAGCCGACTGCCATGCTATCAACTTCCACCAATGCCGATGTAGGCTCTGGCAGTGAACCGCAGCCCACTGCTGTTGCAGATTTGGGAGAGGCAATTGTGGTCGATGATGGTGAAGATGAGTCTCTTCATCCCGTCACACACTATGAAGGTGACGAGGAAGACGAGGAGGAAAGGGAAGCTGAAGCCCGAACTGCTGGTACATCCGTTTATATATGACCAACTTTATGTTTTCTCAATTCAATCTGAACTATTCATAGTTGGGAGCAATGACTTATAACTGTTCCAGGCGAGAGAGCCCTCTTTGACGCCGCGGACGAATTGTTGGGGGTAAATTTTCCCGACCCTCTGCTTCTTCAACAACAGCAACAAAGTCAACCTGTGCAGATGATGGTGTTAGACAGTATGGGTCGCCTAACCCAACAGCAGGTGATTCCCGTGACATCGCACGGTCAGATGCAGATGGGCGCAGTGCAGAATCAGCCACCATATCAAATGCATCTGGGCAAGTCACTACGTGCGGGTCGATCAATTGTCATGACAGTAGTTCGCCCCAGCGGAATTTCAGGTCGTCCGGTGGCCGAGTTCCTCCCTGGCGAGTTGCGCAACAAGGACTATGTGAAGGGCTACATGGCCTCAGAAATCTACAAAAAGACTGTTAAAGAGACCCTTGGCCAAAAAGCCACGCCAAGAAAGTAAGTCGTTTATGCTATTACCCTCCTAAATGTTCCTTGTTGGCAGTCCTTTCGTTGCATTTGGGATTCTTCATAGTTGAATTATTTTCTTCCATAAAGTTGTAACAACCTTTTAATGCATCACTTGAATCTACTAATTCTTTTGAGAGCTGATACAAATTCACGTACTCTCTTAGGCGCAACGGACCAGGACGACCACGAAAGTCAGAGCCAACTTCTGCGATCAGAACGACCGGAGCACCAGGGCCTGCATTAGTACCGTTGAGTGAGATAAATCCCAGTGACCTCGGCAGCATAAAGAATCCGGTGGTTTCATCGATGCACTCCTCCACAGCGCCCAGAAGTGGACAGAACATAAAGAGGGCAACTGCCGCCGGCGGCGTACTTCTCGATGATGCCGGTCTGGGGGGCAATGCTGCGGGTCTTCCCCCGCGGCCAAAGAAGCGCAAGCCTCTAGGCATGCATAGGTGATGATCAAAGTTAATCATGCAGTGCATTCGTTGGAAATGATTGTTGGCGCTTACAGTCTGGAGGCCTTATGAAACTCGTAGTGGAACATTTTTGCACGCTTTATCACTGATATTTTATTCGTCTACTTTTTAAAACAAGACTGGTTGATTGCCCTTTATAATGCAGCATTATTGCTGAGTTCGGCGACAGGTAGTCTTGCTTAGGGCATTCTAGCGGTGACTTTTGTCCGTTTCATTTAACAGTGGTCATCAAAATACCATTATACGTCTCATACTGGCAGACTTTATTTGCTTTGTGTTTCTGTAGAAGTCTTCGTGACTTGTGTGCGGAGCCAACCTACGGCTTCACACCAAGCTACTTGACACCCTCGGGGACCGTAGGAGGTCTGCGAACGGATGCCTCGATGATTGACTACGATCCGTTGCACTTCATCCGGTGTCACGCCAAGGACAACGATGCGGGGGACAGTGAAACCAAAGTCTGGCGCTGCCTCTTTGAGCCCAATCCCTTGCGGCCTGAAGAAACCACGCACGTGGTCGCCACATGTGGCGGCGAATGCGTCTGCTTGATCAACTGTGCTACCGGCAAAGTTATGAAGAGGTTTAAGCACATGGAAGAGGTCAGTTGACGTGTCAGGCATTTTCGTGTTTGTCTTTCGGAAGGATTCGGTAATGGGGTAAAAACTTTCTTTTGGCATTCGTAGGAGTTCTACACAATCGCCTGGACCACTGTAGAAGTCGAAGGCAATAAGCGCACCAACATCTTGGCAGCAGCCGGTCGCATGCGCGAGATTCGATTGTTGCATCCAGAACAACTGGTTTGCTATGCTGAGATGAAGGGTCATACAGAAGACATCACTGCTATGATTTTCCATCAAACACAACCCACCATACTCTTCAGTGGCGACTCCAAGGTAGGCTGTGCGCACGCAAAATCTGGGCATTCGTTGAGCTTCATTTTTTTTTTTTTGTATCCAGGCCTCCGTAATTGTCTGGGACATCGGAATCCCCTCAGTCCCTGATTACAAGACCCGTTATCAGCTGTTGATGCGTCTCCGTTGTCCCCGGCTGGACGTTAACCCAGTGTTAAATCTGGTTTTTCTACCACACTATGCCTACCTAATTGCAGGGTGTGAGGACGGTCTCTTCGCATGGAAGATCACCGACCTCCGGTTGGAGAAACGCGAGCGTGAGCCTGATATGGAACTCAAATTGGAAGTGGATCATGAGGTCTGCATTGATGGTTTAGCTCAGTTGAGTGACAATTCTCTTGTCATCAAAGTCGTTGAGTCGGGAGAAATAATGGTGTTTGACTTCGCTGCTGTGCTCGAGCGGCGAAAAGGTCCGTCACTCTTATCTAGACTGTTCATGCTTCTAGATCTTGCTTATGAGTATGTGATCTGTTGTGCGTTCATGTAGTCTGCAGGCACCTTGTTTCTATGCATTGAACTTGCTTTTTTACTTACCACTCGTTGGTGGAGCCAAATACACTGTTGATCTTGGTGAATAAAGTAAAGCTGATCCGTAAATTCCTTTGCTGAAAGCATTCTTTCAGATTTTTGATGATGCACTCCCTTTTTTTGATCTCCAGGTCTTCAGCGGGTTGTACCAATTGAAATGCGTGGTCATTTGTACTGGCAAAAGACCGATGAAATTTACATCAATGTGTCAGTACGTCAAAATCTCGGTGCTGTAATCTGTGGAGACAATGAGGGTGCTATATGGATCTACGATCTTGATCCCTATCTTGACGACCTTCATTCATCCAGCAGGAAGAAGTTCTTTGTCAAACCGATTAAGGTATTATGGAGTTTTGACGGAGTCGCGTTGAGCTATATTAATACGGAAGGACGTCTTTTATTGAAATAGAAAATTAGGGAGACGTTGTAGACTGTCTTTGGGTCACGTAGCATCGTCCGAACATCTTACGTGTTTGTCAAGTAATTACAATGCTCTTTTCCACTCAGTGTGTGACATTGATTCTCGTAATGTTAGCAAATTTGGTTGCGATATTTCTCAATCCTAGATTTCACAATCAATATCTTCAACTGGAATCTATCGTACACTTCGTCTGGTTAATTTTTATTGTTTGATGAGCCTATAAGGTGGGATGTAAGGATTCAGCCGCCTTTGCAGAACGAACGAAACTTCTTTACGCGATGATATTTTCTTTTCACCTTAGATTCTTGAATGGCCGGAGTGTTCGGTTCAAGGGAATCGGGATGAGGATCAACAATTAAAGGAATCTATCACCTCTGGTTTTCGCAACCCCGTGGTTAATAGTGTGGAGATGAGTTCTGATGGTCACTTTCTGGCGGCAGTAACAGACAATAATCTCGTCTGCATTTGGCGTTACGCTCCTCCCATCACGACTTCCGCTCCAGTGGCGCCTTCTCCAGCCCCTGCCACAGCAGACAGTACCGTTGCTACGACAACAGCAGCACCAGCAGCGACTACCGACGAGACGGGTAATCCCATCGACACCGTACTTATCAATGCTCCTACCGCCATTACTGGTTCCACCGTAGAAACTATAATTCAGTCAGATCCCCCCACTACTGAGCCCTCTTCTCAACCGCCGCCTTCCTCAATCTAAATTTTCTACATGTATACATGAGCCTTCCGTCTAACCTCACTTTCTTCTTCCTTCTTCTCCCCTCCCCCATTTTATATTTACTGCTCACACCCGTACTCAGCTCTTCTGCATGGTGAATAGCGTATGCGTGTTTATTCTGTGTCGATCTGTCTCTATGTCAATACGCGCTTCGTTTCAAAAAAGGCTATACTTTAAACATTCTTCTTCGGCAAGCAAATTTGTATCTTATTTTTAATAAAATAATGTACAATCCTCCCTTGAGTTATGTGTTGATGCATGGATTCTTCTGTTTACTTCGAGTGTTTCACACATTTTTATAAAGTGACCTGCACTCATATTCGTGTATTTAGCTCTGGTTTCGTGGTCGAGTAATTATTGAGATGCCTCTGAGTCTATGAACGTTGATGCTCCTAGACCAATAAATACCTGGATAATGCTTCATTTGTTCTCAGTCTGCAGTTATTTCCTGTAGAGTAGTGCAGTGGGAAGTTGCTGCTCACTGCCATCCCTCTCAGGCTATTTGCGTTATGGAGACGGCACTGAGGTGCCAATCAAGTTTTTTCTTTGGGTCCAACCGTTTAATTTGCCGTTAAAAAGACTTCAATGGTGGGGTTCCACTATTAATATCGTTAAAGCCGCAGGGTTTATTAATGACCTAAAGTGAAAAGTGCAGCTTCTTCGGTTGCATGAAAGCTGTTTGGAATCAACGACTTCCTTGGCCGCGCTACATATTTGTTCAGATCCCCCCATAGCTACCTTTATTTGTCCACAGTGTATGGCAAACGCGGTAGCTGACGCGTCAGAAGAAACGCGTGTTGCTCACCAACTAGACTCCAGCGAGCGCACAGAGGATGTCATTTCGGTGAACGACCTACTCCCCCATACAAGTGATCTTTCCTTCGCTGATATGGGTCTTTCGGTGGATGTCCTGCAGGGCCTCCAGGCCGCCGGTTTCCGGCGTCCCTCGCCCGTTCAAGTAAAGGCCATTCCTTTAGGGCGTCTTGGCGTTGACATGATTGTGCAGGTTGGTCTGATACCTGATCATTGATACCTTTTAATGGAAAACTTAAAGTGTAGAAGTCTTTGTCGCTATTTTTTATGTATTTCTGTGCAAGTAACAGGCTGTAACACCCGTGACATCAAGGCGCTATGCGTATTGACAGACAGTAATCATTGTTCGGCTCTTTAAATTCAAAAAAATCTGTTTCCATTGCTGTGGGAGGCGTGATGAGTATAAACAGCTGGATTATTCGTGTGACACTGCCTTTAGTAAATTCGTGTTTTGGCTTTAAGTTTCTTTCTTGCATTATTTGATTAGTGGTCCCTTAATTATCCAACGATTGGTTTCTTCTTCCCCTTCTGGTTTCATGTACGTGATGGAAAATCCCAAGTCCAAATATGGAAGCTTTCTTTTACTGTCATCCATAAGCTAAATTTCTACCTATAATTTTCGACGATCTTTTTCAGGCAGTTCTTGCTTGATTCTTATTCCTAGGCGAAATCTGGAACGGGAAAAACCGTTGTTTTCGCAGTAATAGCACTTGAGACGATCGAGGTTAATAAAAATGCTATTCAGGCCATCGTCATCTCTCCAACCCGTGAGGTCGCCCTCCAATCGGCCATCGTCATTCGTCAGCTTGGTCATTTCATTGCTGGTCTCCAAGTTCAACTTTTTGTTGGCGGTACTTTTGTGGCTAGCCAATCTACATTTATTTATTGCTTCTACCACGCAGTGATTCATCTTAAAGATTGTATATCCAAACACTTCAACAAAACACTCCACCGCTGCTAATTAGTTATTCAAATTACTTGGTAGGAATATTTGTGAAAGAACTATTTTTTTTAAACTTCAAGTGCATTTTTATTGCACATAATTTCTTGGTCAATGCGATACTCACGCGTCTCCACTTTAATTTGAAATACTTGTTTAGGTATTTCACTGTCGGAGGACGTGAAGCATGTAAACCATTGCCATGTTGCAGTGGGAACACCAGGGAGGTTAAAGTATCTCATAAATTCCGGCCATATTAACTGTGAGAACATCCGCCTTTTGGTCCTGGATGAAGCTGACCTTCTGTTCAGTGGTGGAGCCGGTCCTGACGTTACGGACGCCGAGTTGCTGGCTGGCAAAAACACCTTTCCCGCCTCCATAAACTACATCTGGTGGGCTCTACCGGAATCCAAACAGGTGATTGCGCTTTCGGCGACGTACACTGATCACCTTGTGAAAAATCACCTTCCTAGGTACTTGAGATCGCCAGCATTGGTGCGCCTCTCATCAGACGACCCATCCTTGCTGGGTGTTCGGCAGTTCTTTCATAAGGTCCCAACAACATCTGCATCTCCTGCAGTTGTCTTTAAGACGAAGGTTAGGGAGTTGTTGCGGATTATAAAGGAGCTGGACTTTAAGCAGTGTCTTGTGTTTTCCAATTTCCACAATAGGTGCGTCCTTTCGTTGAGGCTGCTTACAACGTCTTGCTTGGTTAAATTGCTGGACGCGTTACTTCTAATCGGCAGTAGTCGTCCCACGTTACTTTCAACTTTGTGCCTCATGCACCGAATTGTAGCTGTATTTGTTTACATATTGAAATGACCTCAAGGCAACAGGTCCTATGCAGATTGCATCCAGATCTTGATGTAATTGTATTTTAGCGCAGAACAGTTGTGCGAGTTGCTTCGAAGTTCCGGGTGGCCCGTTACGTACATCTCTAGTGGTCTTGACCAGAAGGAGCGCTTCAAGGCCTTCAACAGCCTCCGCGCTTTTCAATGCAGAATCCTTGTGTCTACCGACCTGGTACCTTTTCGTTGCTTTAATTAAACAGTTTATTCTAATGTATTCCTTGTATTGGCACTCATTGCGGAAAGTGTGAAAGAGGGGAATTGGAAGCATCAGTCTTATTTGTGAATTTTGCAGTTTAGGTAACTTTGGTGCAATTCGTTGTTTTGAATACCGGCAAAAGCGTCTACTACAAGTGATTATAGATTTTTCCCTTGTTTCAAAAATTCTCAAGACGTCGCGTGGAATCGATGCAGAGAATGTTAACTTGGTGATCAACCTTGAAGTGCCTTGGAATCGGGATGTGTATCTGCACCGAATCGGAAGAGCAGGCCGCTTTGGTATGGGTTCTGAGCCACTTTTGTTGAACTTGTCCTTTATATGGCTGAATGTGGATGATCGGCTGGCTTCGATTTTCTGTGGTTCGTTCCTGGAGTTATACTTGTCTTGCTGCTAATAGGAAGCTACGGTGCATCCATTCTCCTGGTGGCTGACACTGCCGACGAAATGAAACTGTTGTCACGAATTGAGGATCCGGATTCATCTCCGATTCATCAGCTCCCAGGTCCTAATTTTTATCTTTAAACTGGCTTTTGGTGACACAAGTACACTCTTTCAGAAGTATCACACTTTAAATGTTGCCCTGTCTTCCGCAGAACCACTCCCGGCCGACTTGGTTACCGCAGATTGCGCGATAGATCTCTCCAAACTGGTTACTGTGACAAAAGTGAACGCTGATTTGAAGAGTGAGCCTCCTGGTTCAAGCCAACCTGAAGTTCTCAAGCGTGTAACTAAGAGGCTTTCTGTTAGGAGAGAGTTCCCCTATCGTTCAAACGACAGCGGTGGCACGCGCGTTGTCAAGGAACTCAATCTGATGGAGAGCCTTAGGTCGTATACAGAGGCAATATTGAATATGGTAAATCAATCATAATTTCATTTTGTCTACCTTTTAAAATTGATTCGCTAACAAATTAGACATGAGCGACGTATAAAATTAATTGGTGACTTCAACCAACCATATCATTACGAAAACTCGTGGTTCGCATCGCTTACATTTCATATTTGGAAAAACATGACTACTGGATATTAATATTGACTCCTTGTGCTATTTGTAGTCGCCGATACGAGCGCAGCTATCCACAGACTTAGGCAGTCAAGAAGCCATTGAGGCTTCGGAACTCTCGACTGATATAGAGAACAGGATTCTCAATCAATTGCCCGGATTTCTGGAGACTTCTCTAACCGCTTCCACAGAAGTACGCTCTTCGGAGCGTCCCAAGGCGAAAGAGTGTGAATTCCACGAACGACACAACCACGGCGACGTCGCAGATGCTGCTACCTCGACCGAAAAACCATCTTTAATCCTTTCTCCGCGACAGCAGGCCCTGTGGAACGAGTACTGTCGCCTAGTTGGTTGGAAAGATTACTTCTATCGAGAATGGCAGAAAGCTACGCAAGAATACGAAACAGTTTTGGCACAGTTGGAAGGGTTACAAAATCAGACGGTGTAACTGTATGACTACTTTACACCATGTACACAAAAACTAACATTGACAATAATAAAGCATTTCGGCATCTTTCTTTCGTCAAAACAGCACAAACACGGGAAGCAAAACTACGCATGTCGTTCGTTTCTCCAAAGCTTTCGTATCGTCAGCCTGCCCGTAATGGCGAGTTGGCAAAACATGCGTAAACATAAAGCGGCTAACGTCTCCTCAGTCCGAGGAACAGCAAACTCCGAAACATAGGTCTCGGTTATTTCAAGCACGACGCACTAACTCAAAAGTCACAACAACGCTCATCACCCCCGCAAAAATTACGAACACTGAAGTTCCACCGCAGCTGCCACCAGCATGGAGACGTAATTTTGGACAGGCGCATCTAAACAACCCTCCAACACCGAAGCAACACACCCCAAAACGGCTGTGAACCACGGCAACACCCACCACTAAGGCGCCCAAAGACCAACATAGGAACAACACTCCCACTCCCAGATAGCTGCACGACCCAGTCCTCGCAAGCAAACAATCCAATGTGGTGGCCCTAAACAGGACCGTTTCATCGTTCTCCAAGGTAGGTCACGGACCCGTACACCCTTCACGCAGCCCAAACATCTAGGCCCTCTCGCCACGAATGCGACGAGCCAGCTGAATGTCCTTCGGCATGATTGTCACGCGCTTCGCGTGAATAGCGCACAAGTTGGTGTCCTCAAACAGACCCACCAGGTAGGCCTCACTGGCTTCTTGCAGAGCCGACACTGCAGTACTCTGGAAACGCAAGTCCGTCTTGAAATCCTGAGCTATCTCACGCACCAAACGCTGAAATGGTAGCTTGCGAATGAGCAACTCAGTACTCTTTTGGTATCGACGAATCTCGCGCAGAGCCACAGTACCGGGCCTGTAACGATGCGGCTTCTTCACGCCACCAGTGGCCGGAGCGCTCTTGCGAGCTGCCTTCGTAGCCAACTGCTTGCGAGGAGCCTTACCGCCCGTACTCTTACGCGCTGTCTGCTTAGTACGCGCCATGCCTCACACCAGGTAACGATGATGACGCACACAGTCCTCGCGCTTGATCTTATACTACCATAACACCACTCACTCCTCACCAAAATCCTCGCCGCCTCACCATTGGTCATTCCATCGCCCACCTCGCTGCTTATTCGCCGAATTCCGCCCAATCAACAGCCTAAGTTTAAATGTTTGAGCCGCGCGCTTCATCGTGTCGTGGTGACTCAGCCGCGGCTATAATGCGGTAATATGGTTGCAGCCGTGGTCGTAGTCGGGTCATGGCTCGACTGCGGGTGGGGGTGGCGCTGCGGCATTTTTGGTTTTACTCCATGCGTGTCCCCAAGGGTCGGATCAGATCCATAACGGTTTTGCTCCACCGCAGGTCAAACTTGACCTCGTAATTAGATTGCAGGGTCTTGTTTGAAGCTGAACTATTTGGGAGTGTCAATTAGACACACCCTCTTCCTCAGGTATTCTGTTGAGAAATCAACTCAGCAATGCGAATACGATGACTTTAGTTGCTTTCGAAATTGCATTTCTCCTTGCAGTGCGTTGTCAGTTATGATCATTCGGTCCTGCGACTGGAACATTTCTCTTGCCCCATTATATGTCTTAGTTGCCTTTGAAGATCCATTAGGCTTTTTCGATTTAATGCGAATACTATGCGACAACTTTTATGCTGTTGTTTCGAATGAAATGGGTGCCGATTTTGTGGCCCAACTTAGTGCTTTATCATGAAAATGGGTATGCCTTTAAAATAAGCCCAAAAGTGACTCACTATCTGCAGGTTTCCGTAATCTTGACCTCAGCGTCATGAATAGACTGAGTAATCCTATGTTAGGAGGCGTAAATTCTAGACTGCACTTTTATGACCAATTTATAATCGGTAAAGTTTTTGCCTCTCATAATCACGCATTCGCGATTGACTTCCATTATTCGATGCTTGATTTTGACGTCTCCGAAGTCACCCTACCGGTAATAACAGCGATCCCAAAGCCTGCATAGAGCGCGTCTCTTTCCTGGGCGTAGACGAAACCGCCTCATGAGAAAGTTCGTTTCACAAAGCTACTTATTCAAGGGAGAAATCTTAGACCTCGAATTCTTGGTCGAGTCTCCGTTTTAATTTCATAGGAGATAAAACGTCGTTTTTTTTGGTTACGCAGATATGAGGGTGTGTGTAGCCTTCGCTAGGTGATGTGAATGTGTTGCCGACATCC